CCTCCTCCCCGTCCTCCTCCCCGTCCTCCTCCCCTGCAGAATGATCCAAGAGGAGAAGGAGAGCACAGCTATCCGTGCAGAGGAGATCGAGTGTCGGGTGGGCAGCGGTGACAGCCTGGGAGGACGTTTCCGCTCCATGAGCTCCATCCCTCCTTCACTGTGTGCGGGCTCGTCGTTGGGCGGCTCTCCCCCGGGCTCTGGTCACTCCACCCCCAGACGCATTCCTCGAAGCCCCAACAGAGAGCTGGACCGCATGGGTGTCATGACCTTGGTAACACTTCCTTCACTCTCATAAGCATCCTGACCAGGATAATAGAACTGCACTGAGGAACACTTAACTAAACACTTGGAATTATTTCTGTCTCAAACCTCAGAATGTTAGTTTCCTTGTCGTAATTTTCATTTCAGCGTTTTTGGTTTGTCGTCGTCTTTTAGTGCAGGACTAAAGTACGCGTTTGTCTATTTGTTCTCTAAAATTCTTTATTTTTTGTGCAATGAATCTTCATCAGTTTGATTTGTGTACTAATCATTTGTGTGTAACCGTCTGACCGTGTGTGTGTAACTCCCCCCTACACAAAGCAGTATTGCTACGATCCCTACATCATCCAGAGCTCCCTCTCCCAGCAGACCCTAACTTATCTGCCCTATGGTGCAACTGGCCTCAGTCCCCCTCCTCAGGCCTTTAGCTATGCTCCCTACCTACAGGTACAGATCCTCCCCACAGCTCCTCCCTTCTTCCCCCCTCGGGTGGGTGCAGTCTGCCACTTCCTGTCCGCTCTGTTCTTTCGCACAAGTGAAGATTACACACAGGACTCGTATACACTCTTTACACCTGCTGCGTGTTAAAAGCGTCACTTTGAAGACATACTTGTAACCACAGGGTCGAACAGCAGCTCAACATGAAGAGTCATGACGACGGCCTGTTCGCTAACTGTCAGAATCTAACGTGAAAAATTCTTTCTGATTGGACTCAGAGTGAGTGAATGGCGCTGAGATGCAGAACCAGTTTTTAAAACAAATGTTTTCCAGGAAGAGAAAAGACAGATTTAGATAAATGACGAGTTAACACAGGATTCAACCTGTAACATGGATGTTCCTCTTTTATTTTGACTGTAGACGTGAAGAAGAGAACTGTTCCAGCTTCAGACGTCCAATGGTTTCAGGGCGGTAGAGAAGTCCGCCTCCTTATTTCAGTCCAGTTACTGTAGATTCACTTCAATGTGACGTGTTACTGGTCGGTCGAGCTCTGAGGTTTGCATTCTTTTCAACACCTGCACAACATCCAGATGTGTTAAAACTCAGCTGGGTGGACATTTTAGATTCCTCAGGCACTGCAGTTTAATGTTTAATGGTTTTCCTGTTAATACCCGAGAAGGTAATACTCATCAATCCGTCCTTTCAGGAATTTGTGATTTTGCAATTGACGATCAAGAATCAAGTTCGAACAGTGGCAGCCCTTGTTTAGATTTCCTGGTCAGATAAAGTGAATTGAAGAAGAGCTGTTAAACATTACAGACAGATGATCTCTGAGGAACGAACATGTGTCAGGTTTTAATCCTGCCTGTTAAACTATCATCAATGAAACGCGTCCAAATTAAGATGTTCTGGAAGAAAAGGAACATTTTGGGAGATTAAATTAATTTTTTTCCTCGCCCACTCAATTTCCTCTTCCTGTTTGCCTTTTATAGCTCACCACAGCCCCACAGTGTCAGTCCAGGAAAGGAAATGAGTGATTAGGTATTTCCCCCCTGGGGGCAGGAGAAACTCCCATAGAAATGTGGCGTGCTGATGGTTTATTTGCTCTGCTAATGCCAGGCCCATGAGGAATGCAGAGCGGGAAAAAAAACATCCAGCTTTTAAGGTGCTCAGTGGAAAATATGACCAGAACTGCTCAGATTCATAGATTCATGTTTCACACAAAAGCACTCAGGTTTTTATCCTCTAGTTTCTTATAAAGGTTTTTTTTTTTTTTGTGAATAATAAAGTTCTGCTCCTCCTCCACGCACAAAACCCTGAAGATCCTGAAACACGTGCCGGTCGACACACGCGTGAAAATCAAAATCTGATCTCTGGATGTTCTCCAGAGGGGGGGCTTTACGACAGGACACTTTCTGTAGAGAGTTCACAGAGAGGGAGTGGGCGTGTTGGATGGATGAAGAAGAGGAGCACGTAGAAGACGAAGACGTCCACTTGGAAAGTCGAGGACTTTCAAGAGCTTTTGGTGATAACGGCCGGTGTGGATGACGGACTTCTTCAGATGTGAACTCAGAAAATGTTTCAGCCCAACTATCTCAGAGACGCCTGTGATTTCAGCACCATGTGTCCGTCAGAATAATTAACTCAGAAACTCAGAAATGTTAAACTCTTTTCCTCTTGACTTCCTCTTGAGTTTCCTCGCGGCTGCACCCGCTCGACCTCCAGCGTGGTTGTGTTGCAGTGTCTCTTGTTTTCCCAACAGTCGCTCGTCTTCACTGCACCTCTGAACTCCAGTATGTGTGTTTGTGTGCGCGTTACATGGGTCAATGTGTATCTAGTTCTGATTTCCTGCTCTTGTGTGTTTGTGCATGGCTTGGTTTCACTGCCAGTCTGTTGTATGTCTCACTAACTGCTTCTCTCCTCTCTCCTTTTTTTGCCATGCTTCAGCCTAGTGACCTGCGCAAGCACCGCAGGAAGGTAAACTAGAGATCTGCTGTGCTCCGTCAGCTGTCTATCACCCTCTCCCATCAACCCTCAGTCGTAGTAATCAACGATGCTCAGATTCAGTGTCTCTGTAGTTCACCTTCTTCTCCTGTGTGGAAACACCAGTGTTAAATTAAATCATCATAGACTCTCAGTCCATTGACAGAAAATCGATTTGTTTGAAGCTGCAGATTTGTCGTTTTTGATTTGATTTGTTTTCACAGTTTATGATGGAAAACGTTGAGACATCTGCGATGGTCACGGGTCAAACTTGATTAGAACAATTCTCCCAGTTTTCATCAGTGAGGATGATGAACCAAAAGATTAACAGGACTTATGCTAATTACCAGACTCTTTTCAAACAACACATTTTGTACAGGTCGTCCCACATTAAGAGATAATTACTACTTTAGTTTTTGATGTGTCTGTTCATGCAGGAGTCTGTGGCACCGATTCTTCAGGGACAGAGTTTCTTATTTGCTTTTGTGAACATATAATACAGCTGGTTTACGTCCCCGCCTTGATTTCACTGACCTGTTGTGTCAACATAAAGTCCGATTGGACCGGTCCCTGCTCGCTGTGTCACCTTCATGAATCAGCTGTGTTATGATATTGTTTTCATCACCCCCCCCTCCCCCCCTCCTAACTAAGACGTCTCTCCTGCAGTCTGCTCAGGACGACAAGGCCACCATCCACTGTGAGACTTCACCCCCCACCACTCCGCGCTCCATGCGCCTGAACAGGGATGCAGGACACGCTGCCAGCGTGGAGGACATCAGAGACATTCGAGGGTAAGACAGCTTCCTGTCACCTGAAGACACGGGGATCAACCCGATCACAGGACCCGAGTTATTTCTCTTGTTCCACCCTTTTTGTTTACCGGATGTCTGCTCGGTAGTTTTTGCGTCATGTTGCTGTCAAATAAACCGAAGGGTGAAAGCGTAACCTCCTCGGTGAAGGAGAACAACACAACTCAGTGTAGATTTGTAAAACCTTTGGATTGTTATATGATCAATCCCTGAGCCCCTTATCTTATCATCTGATGATGAAGCAGCCTCTGGGGTCAATGGTCCATGTTTTTTAAAGACTCCCGTCGTCCACACTGTTTACAGTACAACTGGTTTCTATTATCACACAGGTCGAATGTTTCTCTACACAAAACACAAAGAGTGTAGGTGTTTTAGGTCCAGGGGACATTTTGACTCATCTCTTATCAAACGTTATCTTCACTTGAAACCAAAGTCTGGTCCCTCGCTGCAGATTCCACACCTTCACATGCAGAATCTGTGTGTAAACATTACAATATACATCCTAAACCCACATTGTGTTGTACATGGAGAAACGTACAGTACATCTAATAACCCCCGCTCTGTTACCACAGTCTGGCCGGTCTACAGGACGGTCAGGGTAGTAACCCCAGCAGCAGCAACAGCAGCCAGGACTCACTCAACAAAGCAGCCAAGAAGAAGAGCATCAAGTCGTCCATTGGACGCCTGTTTGGAAAGAAGGAGAAGGGCCGACCCAGCATTCCTGGGAAGGACTCCCCCAGCCAAGGTCAGACACTCCGGACCAACCAGGCTTTTATTCACACTACAGCACGTTTTTATATAT